TATTCAATGTGAACAATTTAAAGTGAGAAATAATGGAGTATGTATTAATCTTTTTTTTAATCGCTGTGACATAAAACACCTAAGAAAGAAACTTACAAAGAGGAAAGATGTTTGTTGTGCTCATGGTTTCCCCGGCCTCAGCTCCTGGGCTCTGCTGCCTTTGGCCCGTGTGTGGTGACGCAGAGCACTGTGGTGGGAACGGATGACGTAACAAAGAGGCTCAGCTCATGATGGACAGGGAGCACAGAGACGGAAAGTGGCTTGCAGTCCTCCAGTGGGCTATGTCCTCCAACCGGCCCCCACTGGCTATCACCACCTCCTGATAAGGCCAACTGTAGTCACAGATAGTGGGGGTCTGTCAGTGGCAATGAGAAGACACAGCCCAGCTCTTCCCCCTTGGTCCTGAGATGCCCCCCACGCCCCCGGGAGCCACACTCAGGTAAAGCCAGGACCTTGGCTACACGGCATAAAAGAGTTTCAGGTGAGTCACAGTGAAGTTAGCAAGCTTATTTAGCATTTAGGCGGGAGACGCATGGGGAAAGGACAGCTCCCATTCCCAAGACACGGTGTGACTTTTGTTGTTTATACAATCCTGTAGCTTTAAGGTAACATTCCTTAAAGGATGTAGTTTATGAGTTTTAAGCAAAAAATTAAAATTCAAGTAAAATACTAGCTGGTTTAATTTTCTTCAAAGAATTTCTGGTTGTAAATGAAATAATGTGGTTTATGAGTGTATTGTTATATTGAGGGGTAAGAGAGGAGTTCTGACAGGTAAAACTAAAGATAACTAACATTTGTCCCAGGCAAGTACAGTTTATTGTTGTCTTTTGCTTTGGCACACAAATGCCTGTGTGTGTGTGTGTGTGTGTGTGTGTGTGTGTGTGTGTGTGTGTGTGTGTGTTCTGTATATGCAGGCAGGATAATATACAGGTGTGCTTGCATATAGAGGCAGGAAGAGAACAGAGGGTGTTTTTCCTCTGTAGGTCTCCGTCCTATCCCCTTGAGATAGCATCTCTCCCTGGACTGGAAGCTCAGTGTCTCACAGCCTTCCAGGATCCACCTACACACAGCCATGCCTGGATTTTATGTGACTGCTGGGGCTCTGAACTCATTTCCATGTGCCTGAGCAGCAACCTCCCTATACACGGCCACCTCCCCAGTACCCATCTCATTTTCAAAGTCCTGTTTTGGACCTTGACCTTCAAGTAATCCGTGTTCCTACTTCATGAGTTTCATTTTACACCCCCCCCCAGTTTATCCTAATAACTCACATTCATATCAAAACCTTCCTAAGTGTCTGCTAGTTGCTAACTTCCTGCTCATATTCATGGGTAACAAATGAAAAGGCTTCTTGGATGACTGAAGCCTGGTGGCCTGGATACATTGTTTCACCAGCTCTTGGCATTGACACTCTGAGCGGCACTGTCTTTGTTGTGATGGTGTTCTGTCAACCTAGGGTACTTAAGAGCATCTGCAAGTACCACAGTGAACGCATAAAAATTCTCTGCCTTTGCCTCCAGGCATTCCTAAATGCCCCATGGGCCACAGAAAGCACCCCAGCTAAGGACCACTGCTGGGCGTGGAGGTGGTATGCAGTCCTGGATTCAGTTCCCAGAATCAGAAAAACAAGAGCAAACAAAAAGCCTTGCTGTGGAGTGATGCGATTGCACCTACCCCAAGGGACCCTAAATATCCCCAGTGCACCTTCAAGCTGTTCTCTCCAACATGGATTGTCTATTGCCTTCAACTGACCAGCAGTGGTCCTTGTGCTTCCTGCTTTCCTGGTCAGTAACCTGAGGTACTGGGCCACCCCAGTGGGCGATCCCAGGGGACACCCTAGCAGGGCAGGCCACTCTAGGGGACACCCTGGTGTGCCCTGTGAGTCTGTGTAGGCTCATTTTCTGTTCCCAGGATAATCTCAGGAACAAGCCAGAGTTGATATGATCCGTGTTGAAGCATCCCAACTGGTCACAGCCAGGATGGATGCACCCAACCTGGGAGCTTAGGAAGTGACTTTGTTATGGCTTAAGCGTGAGGTGTCCCCCACCCCAAAGTCTCAGATGTTGAAGGCCTGATCCCTTGTGCAGTATTCAAGGTGGAGCTTCTGAGAGCCAGGGTCCTTCATCGGTCCATCAGTCCCTTGCTGGAGGTGAGGCAGGACAGAATGTGATAGGTGGGACACACGGAGGGGAAGAAGCCCCGCCTAGGATTTGTTTATCTTTCCTGTCCACTGGAGCTGATGGAGCTGAAGCTGCCTACAGAGAATGTGTTTTCCTAAAGATACCTCAAGCAAGGACACGAAAAGCAACACCTGGGAGGCTGAGGAGCTAGACGTGCTTGCCGTGCGAGCAAGGTCTGGCTTCAGATCCCCAACACCTAAGCAAAAGCTAGGCAAAAAGCTGGCACAGGGCATATGCTTGTAATCCCAGCACAGGGAAGCAGAGACAGGACAATCCTAGGGCTTGCTGAACAATCAGTGAGCTCCAGGCTCTGTGAGAGATACTACCTAAAGATGAGATGGAGAGGGATGGAAGACACCTGACATCTGCTTTTGGCCTCTATATGCACATAGACATATAAAACACATATGACAAAAGGTTAAAAATATGGAGGTAGAAAATTTAAAAATACTGTAAAGCAAAAATCACAGATGGAAGATGTGTTGGTTTGAATAGGAATGACCCTAATAAACTCATATATTTGAACGCTTGGTCATCAGGCAGTGACACTCCTAAGAGGGGTTAGGAGATGTGGCCTTGTTGGAGTAGGCATGGCCTCGTTGGAGGAAATGTGTCACTGGGGGTGGGCTTCAGGGTTTCAAGGGTTCAAGTCCCAGTCTCCCTTTCTCGTTTCCTGCTGCCTGTGGATCCAGATGTAGAACTCTCAGCTACTACTCAAGCACCATGTCTGTCTGCATGCCACCGGGCTCTCCACCATGATGACAATGAACTAAACCTCTGAAATTGTAAGCATGCTCCAATTAAATGCTTTCCTTTCATATGCGGGGTCAGGGTCTTTTATGGCAGTAAGCAACTGCTGTGGAATGCTGTCCTATGAACACAAAAACCACTACCATCTTCATCAGGAGTGGCTGTGGCTACTCACAGGAGACCCTCAAGAACTGGCCCATTGGCATTTTCTCCTAGGAAAGAGTGGGGAGGGTCATTAAACCCGAAGCTGAGGTTCCAGCCCTCCTGAAGCTCCCTGACAGCTGGATATAATTCTGCCCTAGCTGTGTGTGGTTTTGGTCTCGTGGTCTCAGGACTTGACAGGCTACATGGATGGTGAATGGGTAACTGAGAGCTGAAGGGGGCCTATGCAGCTGTGGGGAAACTGTCATTTACGCTGGGGATGAGACCTGCTTGCAGGTCACCTGTAGTCCTGTAAGAACCCCTCACTCGTGAGCCATAAGGACTCACTGGCTTCCAGAGTCGAGTCGTGGTGGGGCTGTGACTTTGGTCTGTTGTTGGTGCCCTTTCTGATGGGGGATGGGGTTAGGGGTGCAGACATTTGTTGACATGTCTCTAAGAAAAGCTCATTTAATTCCAGCTAAAACTGAGGCTTTTTAAAAAATTGATTTTTACACTTATAGGTGTGTGTGCACACACTGTGGTACACTTGTGGCCTTGCTCTTCTCCCGTAGATCTGTGGGGCTGAACTTGAGTTGTCAGGTTTGATGGCAGGGGCCTTTATCATTGAGCCATCTCGCTAGCCAAGGACCCGCCATACTTGGGAGTCACACCTGTTGATGCTGAGCTACCAATGAGCAAAGCTGAAGGTGCAGGCTTCTGCCACGGCAAGTCTGGCACAGTGAGGGAGCCAGATGTGAGGGTCCTGCTCTGACCTCAGCTGTCAGGATCACTGTCACTGACACTCAGCTGAGTGCCTTGCCCTGGGGACATCCCCAGCTGGTGTCTGGTTAATGTGGACATGCCAAGGCCGGGCCCTGGGCCTGTCCTACAGTCCTGTCTGTTGGTGGATATTTGTATACAGTGTGAAGATGTGGTTGCTGTGATTGGTGTAGTGAAAAGCTGAACGGCCAATAGCTTGGCAGGAGGTTTGGTGGGATTTCCAGGGAGAGAAAGAAAGTAGGAGATAATCGAGGCACAGAGGAGATGCCAAGGAGACATGGAGGGAGTTGGACATACAGAATGAAAGAAAGATTAGAGGCTACATCTTAAAACATAGATTAATAAAGGTAGGTTAATTTAAATTTAAGAGCTAGTGGGACAAGCCTAAGCTAAGGCTGAGTTTTCATAATTAATAACAAGTCTCAGTGTCATTATTTGGGAGTTGGTTGGTGGGACAGAGAAAGAATCATTACACCTGTCCAGTGGGAGCTGTAGCCCCACCACTCAGCAGAAACCTCTCCTATAGAGGGTTCCCAGAAACCCTCCTACTTGTCAGTCCTGACATGTTTCCAGAGGAATAAAACCTGAGACAATTTCACTCAATGTCCATGACCCAGAATTCATCTATTTCCCACAAACTCTGTTACAGGGAACCTCCATGCAAAACTAGCCAACATACACATATACAAAGACAGACAGACATGCACACACACACACACACACACACACACAGAGAGAGAGAGAGAGAGAGAGAGAGAGAGAGAGAGAGAATTTTCATCCTCTTAGATTCTTGGGAAGAGACTTGCCAGAATGACAGTATATGAATTTGAATTTAAATAGGCATTTCTAGATTGCTTTCCAAAAATAGTAAAAGTTTATGCTTCAGTAGCAATGCATTCAAGAGCCCTCTCAAAAGCCCTCCCCCCCAAACCTTTGTGCACAGTACGCACTAGCATTTACTTTATTTTCCATCAGTTTGATGAGCATGAGCGATGCACTGTTTAATTTGCACCACTGACAAGTTTGAGCATCTCTCTACGTTTGTCATTTGGGCTTGCTCCTCAGTGGATTGCTGTGTTAATTGGATTAGGTACCATGGCATATAGCAGAACAATGAGGAAATTAGATAAAGTTTATTTATGTCCTCTGCAAAATAAATAAACCAAGCTGGACATAATAAGCATTTCAAGATTGGTACTGTGACTTGGCAGACTCGTCAGTGACTCGACTGTCTTCCAGCACTCTAGTTCAGTTTCCTCAGGAATAGAGGTGCTATTTACCCTCCATGTCCCACGATGGTTACGAGGGTGCCAGACGAAATACCCTTGACCCAGGATGCTGTGGAGAAACAGACAGAAAGAGGACACACTCCACCTCTACTAAGAGACTCTGGATAAGACACCGAGACTTCTACTGTCATATATTTATCAGAAATTAACCAAATTATAGATAGCTGTAAGTGAGGTTGAGAAACTTGGTCCTTGAGTTAAATAAATGATTAGCTGTCTTTTTATGGTTTCTATTGCTGTGAAGAGACACCATGACCATGGCAACTTTTATAAAAGAAAGCATTTCATTGGGGTGACTGGCTTACAGTTCAGAGATTTAGTCCATTATCATCATGGTGGAACGTGCAGGCAGACGGGCTGTTGGAGAAGGAGCTGAGGGGTCTACATCTTTCAGGCAACAGGAAGTGGTCTGTCTCATTGGGTGGTATCTTGAACATAAGTAAGACTTTAAAGCCCGCCTCCACAGTGACACATTTCCTTCAACAAGGCCACGCCTCCTAATAGTGCCACTCCCCTTATGGGCCATTTTCTTTCAAAGCATCACAGCACATTAAATAGAATCAGGAGTCTATTACTGAGAAGGACATGGGCATGGAGGAGGCAGCTAGAGATACCTGCTGCTATTGCCTTCTCTTTACATGTACTTCCTCATAGATGTTTGCATAGCGTGAACCATGTGAGAATGGTATTTCACTGTTAGGGCGCAGAAACATGCATTTCACTTGATTCAACCTATCAGACACATATCCTTTAGATATGTGTCCTCTGCCTTCTGATCCTGTACAGGAAATCTCTTCCTACAGGTGTACTCTCTCTCTCTCTCTCTCTCTCTCTCTCTCTCTCTCTCTCTCTCTCTCTCTCTCTCTCACACACACACACACACACACACACACACACACACACACACACCAGGTCTGTCTGTGTGTCGTCCCCTTTGCCATTCAGAATTCTTAAATTTATATATGATCAGCAGCACCTGCTCCTCTGTTACAGCTTCTGGGTTGCCTGGCCTAGCGGAAGTTTTTCATGCAGGTTCAGTTGCCTACGTCCTAAGATTTGAATTGTATCACTTATTTGTTCTTTACATGTAAACGTTCCACTGTCCTTGATTTGATTTTTGTATATTGCAGGAATCGAGCCTAGCTTGGAAGCCTTCCACCTAGATAGCCAATTGTGACACCATCCATGGTGAGCATTAAAGTTGTGCTCACAAAAGGAGCCATGTGGGGGCTTGTTGGATAATGGGAACTTTTCTATGAATGATTTGACACTAGTTCCTTCCCTCCCTCCATCCTTGCCTCCTTCCTTCCTTCCCTCCCTCCCTCCTTGCTTTACATGTCACCTATACAGAGAGAGAGAGAGAGAGAGAGAGAGAGAGAGAGAGAGAGAGAGAGAGAGAGAGAGAGAGACTCCAGGCAGGTGGCTGTCCTCCGTAACCACCCACACCCTACTTCCTGCTTAGTCTGTTTAAAGGCTTGTCCTGGGTGCCATCAATGGGTGGTTCATACTTCCAAGTGCTCTGAAAGTCACCCGCCACCATCCCTGACTTGCAGGCTCTATGCTGAATTCACTGCAGGAGGTTGGGAGGATAGAAGCTGAGCTCTGCTCATTACACCCACCCTGGGTGGCTTCTGCACTACAGCAAGGGAGGGTGTCCAACCTTGTCCATGCTCACCACTTCCCAGCCACTGTTATGAATCTGTGAAATATGCCAGCACCGCCCCCCTGTTCCCGCACTACTATAACAGTGCCAGGACATGGCACTCTGTTCTTCTTTCTGTTTTCTTTTAAACATGTATTTCTGAGTGAGTGTTTCGTCTATACATATGTGTGCCACATGCACACCTGGTGTCCACAGAAGCCAGAAGAAGGTGTTAGGTCCCCTGGAGCTACAGTAACCAGATGGTTGGGAGCTGCCATGTGGATACTGGGAATTGCACCCACAGTCCTCTGCAAGATTATCAAGTGCTCTTAATTGCTGAGCCACCTCTCCAACCCTAAGGGACAGGGCATTCTTACAGGTAGGGAAGCAGAGCCTTGAAAAGAAGGAGTATCTATCTGAGATCACCCCACCCCTACTTCCCAGTATAAAGTTTGGTATAGGAACCATGAAGCCTGCTGTCTCCTGGCTGCTGTGGTGTGTAGATGGTTGGCACGGTGTCTTCAGATCCTATTGTCTGAGCCTGACATAGATTGCCAGGAGGGAAGGAGGAAAGAAGCCTCAGGGATTCAGAAGACCCTCACTAGATCCTTGAGTCTGGATAGCAAGTAGGAGAGCAGGACAAACAGGTAGCAAACCCAGTGCAGGGCATCTCCTATATGGTGGCTCCAGACGCCTGGTTTCACTGGATGGAGGATGGCCTGGCATCTACCTCCCTGGTGAGGCTGCATCCTATTGGAGACAGATCTCTGTGGGTCAGTCCGAAAGGGGCCCGTTTGTGAGCCTGTCACAAAGATAGCTTCCTTCTAGTCTACCTTTTTAAGGATGTTTGTGGAGCACAGGGCCTTGGAAGGTAGACAGGCTGTCTCCTGCCATGGAGCAAGGGTGGATTTATTTGCTGTTTGATAGAACAAAGATGACATCACCCTCTGTGCAAAGCTTGGCAGATGGCCTGCAGCTCCTATAGAGAATGTGGTGAGCTGTCCATGTGTGCTGTCCATGTGTCTTATCATCACGCCATGGGATTTGAGGGTGTGTAGATTGATTTATGTACCCCCAAAAGCTATGCTCTGATCACCCCGGGGACCCTCTGTGTGACCTCTGTTGGAAATATGATCTTTGCAGATGTAGTTAGGTTTAGATGAGGTCCCATTGGGTTAGTATAGACCCCAAGTCTAATGGTTGATATGGTAATAAGGAGAGACAGGGAACGCTGGGAGACAAAGTCATGTGAAGACACACACACAGACTGGATAGAGCAGCTACATGCCAGCTCAGGCCAAGCTTGCCAGCCACCCCCAATCCCAGAAGCTGAGGAGAAGTTAGGTTCTGGGAGGAGCTGACCTGCTCTTATCTTGAGTTCAGATTTCTGGCCTTCAGAACTTTGACAGCATGTATTCCTGTCATGGGAAACCAGAGTTCATGCTGGTTTGCCTCGGAGCCCTGGGAAATGACCAGCGGGTCAGAGAGCAGTGTGGCATGGGCACAGCACTCCTGTGTTGTTGTGAAATAAGTGACAAAGGCCCTGTCCTCTGCCCTAGTGTGTCTCGTGCCAGCTGCTATGAAATGGTGACAGACTGACCTCAGAGCGGTGAGTGAGCTGTTGAATGTAGACTCCCCTCAGACTGGTGTTTCAGCTCTCACTCTCTACCTTGTGACTCTGTTTTGAAGGCTGTGGGTTTCAGGAGGCCTGGCTGGTGGAAGAGGCCACTCAGAGTCTTTGAGGGTTGTACATGCTTCTGGTCCCTGCCTCCTGCCAGAGTATGGTGAGCAAAGCGCCCTCTCCATCATGCCTTCTCTACCAGGATGGACTGGAATCCCTCTGCAGCCGCGAGCCAAGATTAACCTTTCCTTTCCCCAGTTGTTTCTGTCAGATGCTCTGACACCATGGGAAGAAAAGAGGTGAACAGGGGCTGGCTCAGTGGTTAACAGCACTGACTGCTCTTCCAGAGGACCTGGGTTCAGTTCCCAGCACCCACACGGCAGCTCACAACTGCCTGTAGCTCCAGTTCCAGCAGATCTAACGCCTTGACACGGACATATATGCAAGAAAAACACCAAATCACATGAAATAAAAATAAATACATGAAAAGAGAGAGAGAGAAGAGAGGAGGAGATAATTCAGACATGACCTCAGGTCCCTTCAATTCCTTAGAGTTATGAGAGTAAAAACTGACAGGATTGGCTGTCTCAATAGGAGGGACAGGGACCCTGAGCTCCCTGTACGAAGACTCACCAGAGTTTGGTGATATTCTCTCCCCAGAGATCCAGAGTACACATCCCACATATTAGTGAGTATTAGTGTTAAGAGGCTGAACAGCAAGAAGGAAGGCTCAGGCAGGCTGCTGCTGGCTCTCTTTAGCAGGAGGAGGACTGTGGTCTTGAGGCAGTAAGAACCATTGAGAACCAGTGGCTGCAGAGCAAAGTCCCTGTGCCAGGCAGCTTTTGTCACTGTAACAAATAAGATCATCAATTTAAAAACAAAAGAGGTTTCAGCAGGGCCTGATAGCACATGCCTTTAATCCCAGCACTCAGGAGGCAGAGGCAGGTGGATCTCTGTAGGCTCAAGGTCAATCTGGTTTACACAACAAGTTCCTGGATAGCCAGGGCTGCATAGAAACCTTTGTGAACTTCCAAATTTCCAAGACCCCAACTCTGGGAAATTTTCTGTTACAATTCTTCTGAAAATGTTTTATATGTCTTCAGGGTAAAATTCTTTTCCTTCTTCCATAGCCATTAGCCGTGGGGTTTGTCTGTTCAAAGTGTCACATGTATCTTGACATCCCGTCGATACTTCATCCTTGTTGGACTGTCTTCAAGCTCAGCTATTCTGCCTCTCCTTGATGCATTCAACTGCCGAGACTTCTCACCAAGCTTTTCATCCGACTTACTGAATATTTGTTTCCAGAATTTCAGATTGGGTTTTCTTGAGTATTTCTATCTTTGCTGATTTATTCTTTCATATAATTCATCACCTTATTTCATTCAGTTGGTTGTATCTTAGAACATACTGAAGACCATTATTTTGAGTTCTCTGGAATTTCATCTAAATCAGTCTCACTAGATGTTACTGTAGGGTTAATAACTTTTGGAGGAGTTAATGTTGTCTTTTTTATGTGTGTGTGTTTTGTAGGTTACTACATTGAAAGTTTAGGTATCTGATATTGTTTCATGGCTTCATTACTGTTATTATCCATTATACTTTTTTATCAGTTAAGGTATTTGCAATGCTCAAGTGAATGTAGTAGAGTTGATGTGAGTGTGCAGTTTAAAAAATCCTCAGTCTGGAAGCCCAGAGCTCCTGTGTAGGCTGTGTATCACTGCCTGGGTAGGATGTTAACTGGGAGAGCAGCCACAGCTGCTGGGTATCACCATTATTCAAATATTGAATAGTGGCTCCTCTGACTTCAGTATTGTTGGAGGATAAGCAACCAAGGACAGTATGGAATAGCATCAGATTTTAGTTAATAAAATTCGGAGTGAGGGGGACCTAGGGTGGGTAAGGACAAGCGTAAATACTAGGTTGACTTTGAAAAGAAAATCAAAGTAGTAAAGAGGGGACAGTTGGGATGCTGTCAGGATCAATAGATTTTTAGCTACAAAAAGTTATAATGAAGTTTATAAAAAGGGAGGGGGTGCAGACGAGAGAAAGTAGGAATAAGGGAATGACATGAGATACGGCTGAAGAGCCGAGTGCATTGCTCGACACTGGATGGAGAGACATAAACAACCGTCTTGAAAACCTAGCTGAGTGGTGCACAGTGAAGGCAAAACCAGCATGAGACCTATCTTCAGGAGTGGAAATCAGTAAGAAACAAATACTTCCGAATACTTCGGTAGCAAACTGCTGTCGCTGCTGAGCAGGTCTGCAGAAAGGCGAAGTTCTCAGATCCCTCTGACTCTGCTAGGCTCCACTTGTGTGGGGTGGGGTGGGGCCATTGCTCTCTACAGGCTCAGTGTTTGTGGGGCTCTGGATGGCCTACGGAGGAGGGGAAGTTCTAAGTCCTTTCTTCCCGTGGACCTCTGCACTCCACACGACCTCTTCTGGTCCCTCAGGTCCAGATGTAAGGAGTTCTTCCTACTGGCCCTACTGCTCTCCTGGGTTGCTTTAGTCCTCTGCCAATTGGCTTGAGCAATTCTTTTTGTACTGTTAAACAATCAATGCTGAATAAATCACATTCTACCCAGCATGGATACTCTGGACACTGGTGTGATTTGCTGGGGGGGGGGGGGAAGGGGATGGCATGACATTTCACTGTGCTGCTCAGAATGGTGCCCAACCTAAAACATGAGTTGTTTAGTTCTGCAGTTTTCTATCCAATGGAAAACCCTAGGATCCCAGGCGACTGCAGGTAACAGAAACCACAGAAAGGAGCTCTTCACCAAGAAGGTGGCTCCTGCTCTTCTCTCCTTAAGAAGCAGTTAGCTGAGACACACAGTTCAGCAGTTTTATTTTAGCAAAGCAAGGTGTACACTCCAGAGGAAGAGCCAAGTGGGCTGTGATTCATGTTGGGACCAGATAGATGTCCCTCTTAGGGTAATTCTTCTCATCTCTGAGAAGAGTCCACAAAGGGCTGGGATGTGTGTGTGTGAAACCACAGCATAAATAATATAATAATGAAACTAAGGTCCTTTGAGGCTACAAATGCGTTGTGCATGCATGTGGCTGACTGGGTGGGGGTAACTAGGAAAGTGTCTGGTGCCTTCATTTCTGACAAGTGGGAAGAACTTAACCATAGCTTCGATGATCCTAACTTCAAATGGGTAGCCGACCTTTAAGATACAGATGCAGTTTCCTTGGCTACTTTGTTGTTGTTTTTGAGACATGGTTTCTCTGTGTAGCTTTGGAGCATTTCCTGACTCACTCTGTAGACCAGGCTGGCCTGGAACTCACAGAGATCCGCATGTCTCTGCCTCCTGAGTGCTGGGATTAAAGGCGTGAGTCACCACCTTCCGGCTTTTCCTTGGTTACTTTATCTGTAACTCCTGCCTACCTGCTCTCAAAGACACACGGTCACTTCCGGTCTCCTGTGATCCAAGCAGGCCTATAGGCACCAGAAGGCTCCTGTCTGTTACTGTTTTGTGATGTGGTGGTAAGAAGGAAAGTTATACCATACAACGGAGCACACGTGGGAGGGTTATTGGGGGAGGGGGAAGGGATGGGAGAGAGTGACAGAAGAGGTCCCTGGGGCAGAAGCTGCGGAAGGAAGGAAGGGAGAGGAACACATGGAGGGGCCTAGATTTTATAAGGGGGTGTGGCCCGTGCCCACGTGGCTTGACGATGTGTTCCGTCAGGACCCTTAGGGCTGGCCAGCATAGGTGCCTGCATACTAACCAGCACGTGCACACAATTGTCTCAATTGATGATTAACGTGAGCGAGCCAAACCACAGAGAATAGTGCCACCCTGGACAAGTAGTCTGGAGCTATGTGAGAGAGTAGGCTGAAGACTGGGTGGTGGCGCACACTTTTGATCCCAGCACATGGGAGGCAGTTATAAGAGCTGGTTGGGAAAAAGCCTAAGCTAAGGCCAAGCTTTCATAATTAATAATAAATCTCTGGGCCATTATTTGTCAGCTGGTGGCTCAAAGATAATCCAATAAGAAAGTTTGCTACAGATCCTGTCCTTTTGGCTTGTGGGACCGTCCCCAGTGCTGGTGTCCTTAGTGCTAATTGCTCCTTTTGCTACCCCCTGTCTCTGCTGCTGACTCCTGCTGCTGTGTTCACACCCTGAGCACTGATATTATCAGATGTTTTAGGTCCTCTTTCACACCCTTCTTCTCATAGCCCCTTTGACCCGCCTACTGCTGTCTCTGCCTTGTCCCACATCCTTGGTCAGTCTGTCCATGTGTCAATCTATGTCTGGTAGGAAGCTCCATCTGGATGCTTCAGGATGATGCACACCCTGGCCTAACCTGAGTTCCTCATCTCCACCTCAAGGGCTGTGGTAGATCAGTCAGCTGGATCTCTTTTTTTTAATGATTTATTTATTTATTACATATACGGTGTTCTGCCAGAGGAGGGTACCAGATTGAATTGTAGATGGTTGTGAGCCACCATGTGGTTGCTGGGAATTGAACTCAGGACCTCTGCAAGAGCAGTCAGTGATTTTAACCTCTGAGCCATCTCTACAGCCCCCCAGCTGGATCTCTTAAAGCCTCCTACGCCATGGCTCCCTCCTCATCCTTAAAACCTCGGATGAGCCGCAGCATTACACCTTGCCTCCCTCTACACACACACACACACACACACACACACACACGCACGCACGCACGCACGCACGCACGCGGCTGGACCAGTCATGCTAGAGCACAGTGTAGCCATGCCCACTCCCCCTAGCTTTTTACCATCTCTGGCACTAGACCCAGTCTCTCCTTAGAGGAGATGAGGCTCTTTTCAAGGCACCCCTTCCCTCTGTTTCCCATTTCTCCCTCAAAAATTCCATAGCTCTGTTACCCTGCCTGTTATCCATGCCGCTGCCCCAGCCTGTGAAGCCCTTTCCTTTTCTTTGCCTTGTGGTGAAATGCCTGGAAATCACCACGGCTAGTGCGGGGGACAGACCAAGCTGAAGATGGGGAAGTGTAAGGAAACCACAAGTTGCTGCTTTGCAATGATCAGAAAGGTGACAGCAGGTGTTTAGGAAAGAGGGTGGAAGAGAGGAGGTGAGGAGAAGAGGGAGGGGAGAGAAAGAGGAGGCACCGAAGGAGGCAGAGAATGGGAATGAATGAATAAATGAATATTTAATCAGGACCATTCAGACCATGTCTTCTTTACTTTGCTTCAAACACAGACAAGATGTTTGTTTGCATAATAACTGGAACTTCAAGGGCACCGGAATAGGGAAAATATCTTGAAGACAAGGTTAGTGGACACATAATTCCCTGCCTCAAAATTTGCTGCAAAGTTACAGTAAAAACACGTAAACACACAAGACCAAATGGGGAAGAAACAAGAACACCCCCAATGACCGACGGGCTAGAGCTGCCGTGGCGAAGCATCCTTTCAGTGGAGGCCAGCGGAGTCTGGGCAAGGCTGTCAAGCCCACTCAATGGATTTCCAGCCCCACCCCCACCCCCCACCCCCTGCCATGGCGAAGCATCCTTACAGTGGAGGCCAGCGGAGTTTGGACGAGGCTGTCAAGCCCACTCAATGGGCAGAATATTCTTTTCTACAAAGAGCATGGGCACAGGTGGATTTCCAGCCCCACCCCCACCCCCCACCCCCACACCAAAGGTGCATTTTTACTACACACAACAGAAGAAATTGGCCCATGATGGTTTTATCTCATTTGTGTTTTTATTCTTGGGATTCTAGTGCTGCTCAAGTCTGTGGCTTAATGACTTATCGTCAGTTTTTAAAAATTATCTTCTTTGATCTTCCCATGTAATGTTCCTGCCCTATTCTCTTTCTCCTCTCCCTCCTGACTCCTAATTATAAGCATGGCAGACAATTTCAGGGAGCACTGGATACTTTTACATTTCTTTCCCTATTCCCCAACTTGTTAGCATCGTCATGTCCCTTTCCCTAGTTCCTTTACATCAGCCATATATACAAATATTTCTGTACACTCTGTATCATTATCAATGTGCTGTTTACTTGTCTCCTTTTATTGGTGTCCCAGTTCCCATTTCTTCAGTGGAGTTAAAATTTCCATTGAACCCATCTATTTGAATTATAATTTTTAATTGTTTTTCTAAGTTGTAGGTTTTTTCAAAATGATTCTTGTGTGTATGTGTACATATGTATGAATGATGTGGGGGTAAATACACCACAGCACATGTGTGAGGTCAGAGGACAACTTTAGGAGATTGACCTCAGGTCTTTACCCTCTGACCTTTGCACTGGCCCCAAGTTTTAATTGTTTTTCTTACTACACTACTGTTACAGTGGAGCTGTAAATGTATGTGTAGTATCCAAATGTGATATAAATCCATATAACTATACCCAAAATAGTTGATTTCATTTTCCATTTCTCTTTTCTTAAGGATCTGGGGAGGGGGTGTGCATTTAAGTAGACACAGTGTGCCATTCTGCCAGATGAATTTTACTATTGCTTTGGCTTTTTTAGTATAAAGAATTAAGGCAACCTAGATAGTACCTGCTTGTCTCCTGTGCTTTGTCCATTAACTAGTATTACTGAGAGCCAGCCCATTGACCCAGGTTTGTTTCCCAGCTCTGTTGCCAGGCGTTGAAGTGCCACACAGAAGCACTCAGGCCTCTCCTCTTTGCTTTTTAATTCTGTGAAATGCAGAATAAAATCCCTAGTTTTAGAAGATGCGGGGAATCAACCAGATTGCTAAATGTGAACTCTTTGAGGCCAGTATGCATCGAGAGGACAATTGTCTCGTGTAAGGAAGGCCAGCTAAGTGTTAAGGATATCACAATAGAGGGTTGTGTGAGTGTGTGCGTGTATGCATTGTGCGTGGTACCAGGCAAGAAAGTAGCAAAAATAAAACATGCAGTATTTTAGGTGGAAAGGGCTATGCACAATGGAAATGTAGCCAGGAGACGGAACATGCTTGAACAAAAGCACCTGAGTGTGCTTGTCACCGCTGCCTGTTGAAGGTGACTGGCTCAGAGTGGCAGCTCAGTGAACCTTTGAGAGATTAAATGAATAGCTGTGACAATGCTTTCAGAACAGATGTCTACCCTTAAAGATGCATCTTCCCACATTCGGTTGGTGGCGCCAAGTGTTTGCCTTGGGAATTACACTGGGGTAATCCAGCTCACCCTCCTGCCACGCCCACCCCCATCCCACTGTGTCAGTCCATTGAAGAGCCTCCCCTGCCCCCAACCCAGGAGCCAATGCTAGGATCCCCTGAGTGTGAACAGGACTGATGCCTTACAATGGTTTGGGTTTTGTCGTCACTCTTTGGTAAGGTCTGAGTCCAGGATGCTCTTCCGAGAGGTGAGGCACTCTTAGGTGGAGCTCAGGTGCTGAATGGATTACAAGGAGATGAGCTGCACGGGTGTCTCCGGGCCAGCAGGGGGCACTGCGCCGCCGCGTGAGCCCAGACCTACCTAGCCATCCTCACTCAAGATCCAGCAGCTGGAGAGACTTTGCTTTTATACTCAACAGTGATGGTCGAGAGCTTTCCAGCATCCACCGCTCACGTTCTCCGAATACAGGGTGCAGAGAGGAGGGAAGAAGGGGAGGGGGAGAGAGGAGGGAGGGCGAGAGGGGAAGAGAGACATGGTAGTAGAGCAGATAAGTGTGTGAGGGGGTCGTAAGGGGCGGTTCCGCCTGGCTCCCCTTCCAGCTGTCCTTTTAGGGTCTTTCAATCTGAGATGCATGCAGTCCCTGTGGGCCTGAGAGGGCAGAGGAAGTATGGGGCTCCAGGACCGGCTGCTGGAGCTGGAGGCCCTGGGAGTAACTGGGAGGGCTTCAAAGCCAGATTCCTCTTGCTGTCTGAGGCATAGCACTGGTGGTGTGCCTGTGTGTAAACGAGTGGGTACCACATTCTTGTGCCTTCTCTTGGGGCTCTTTTATTTTTATGTAGGCTTGTCTTGTCTAGCTTCAATATGTAGGTTTTTTGTTTTATCCTATTATATTTTGTTACGTTTTGTCGTTATCTCTTAGAAGCCTACTCTTTTCTATTGAGAGATAGGAAGGGGGTGGACCCGGATGGGAGAGGAGATGGAGAGGAAATGGGAGGACTAGAGGAAGTGCTAATTATATTCAGATTCTAATTGTATGAGAAAAGAATCTATGCTTAATGAAAGGTGGAAAAGTTGTTTTTTTGTTGTTGTTGTTTTGTTTTGTTTTTTAATCCACTCAGTGGATAGACACTTAGATTGTTTCCATTTCTTGGCTATTGTGACTAGAGCTGCAATGAACTATGTTTTTATCATATTGATGTCATGTCCCTTGTGTATAGACTTCACATTGCTGGATCATAAAGTAGTTCTATTTCTGTTTATTTATTGTTTTGTTATTGATAACTATTCCTATTGGAGTGAGGTGATTTCTCAAGGGATTTGATTTTCGTGTTCCCAATGTTTTTTGATATTGAAAATTTTCATACACCCATGTCTTTTGTTGAGAAATATTTATTTGGATCTACTATGCATTTTTATTTATTTATTTTGTATGTAGTTTCCCTTTTCTTTTTTAAAATTTAAATTAGAAACGATCTTATTTTACATATCAATCCGAGTTCCCTCTCCCTCCCATCCTCCCATGCCCCTCACTTACCCCATCCCATCTCTCTTCTGCTCCATAGA